TCTGTCACTTTCTGGAATGTTTCGCCTATCATATAAATAGTCGAGTATCACCATCAAGAATATATGGTTACGTTCAGTGTATATCCTGTTCTCATACTATCTTTTTATTGTGAAACTTTTCAACATTATATTTAAAGGGTGTGGGTGTGGGTGGGTGAGTGTGGGTGTGGGTGTGGATGTTGGCGTGCGTATGGATGTGGGTGTGAGAGTGTGTGTGTGGGTGTGGGTGTGGGTGTGAGTATGATTCTTGTATTTATCTACATCCACCCCCACCCCCACCCCCACCCCCACACCCACACCCCACGCACACCCACAGCCATGCCCCCACACCCCACACCCACACCCACACCCAATTGAAGATCCTATACTTATAAAAAAACTATTAGAATTATCTGATAGCAAGACAGAGCATTTACCCGGTTTGTTACCACTTGTTCCTGGAATGCCTGTTATTTTAACACAAAATATTGCTATTGAACTGGGTCTTATTAACGGCATGGATGGAATCTTCGACAATTAGTCTACCAGGCTGATTCTGTATCAACAGATTCTCTGTCAGACATATTTCCGAACAACACACAGTACGTGCATCGGCCTTTATATGCATTAATTGAAATTATCAGATCGAAAATTGAGTGTAATCTTGAAAGTCTTCAACCAAAACTTGCCCCAATACCAATAATGGAACAAACATTTCGTGTCGACATTTCTGATATTCTTCCAAAAGACAAAAAGCCAAAACCCAATTGGAAAGCAATGTTGTCAATTAAACGTCGTGCACTGCCACTTGTGCCTGCTTATTCTATTACGACACATAAGAGTCAAGGTCAAACTTTGAGTAAAGTCGTAATTGATCTGAAACTTCCAAATGACACCGATGACATTGTTGCAGTGTACGTACCCTTATCGCGCGTCAAACGTTTGACTGATTTGATTATTTTACAGCATTTCGATTACAAGGTTCTGCTAATGAAGCCAAGTAAATCGCAAGTCGCCGAAATGGAAAGGCTCGATAAACTATACATTGATACTCAAACTCGATTTTCTGAGTGGTTCTAATAATTTTTTTTATTGTATAAAAATTAAACTTAGCTGTTATTCATTGTTTTGTATATTATTTTCTTTTATGAAGTCTTCACTCTACGTTCTTTGCATTTAAACATTGTTTTTTTATTAGTGTTTCTTTTATAGTAGTATTGTGTTTCTTTTCTAGTTTATAGTGTGGAATGAAACTTGCTAGTTATAGATGCTTCTATGTTTTCATATCAACTTTTTTTTTGTTTTGGTTAAAAATCGAATATATCTGTAGTATGCTATTAGTTGTAAAAGTTTCAATAAAATATTATCAGCTATATTACAAAATCATAGTAGTTATTAAATCATTCTACAACACAGCATAACTGCAATGTGGTATAGATTTATCTGCAGTGATATTCAGCAAAAGTGCGATTATAATTGGTCACAGTGACCACTTTAAATTTTTACTTTATGACATAGCATTGTTCTGATCGAGCTATATTCAACGTAATCGAGCATAAATGTCAATAGACGATAGGAATTGAAAATAGTCTTTCTCATATTGTTGTCATTATATGATACTAATATTGGTGTTACTATACGACTTTATAAGTTGACGCACTTCTGAACAGCCATCATTTAACTTTCACTTCAACACTGACTACTAAAAAATCTATCTAATTTCGTGATATTCATAAGAAAAAACTAAAACTTTAATTTCCACTACCAAGATACATATATAAACGACGATTTTTCAACACTAAATTTTTTAAGTAGTCTGCTTATTTACTAATTTATCGATAATGATGGTGGTTTTATGCATAGAAGCTACCATAACTTGAAGTTGACTACCCTATTATAGATATTTAAATAATATTCAAACAAAGACGTTTACATAGTTTTGATATTATCAATAATTTTGTTCATGAGATAAACTACTATTTACACTTATAAACATTCAGTCGAGGGTCAAGCGAGTCGTAGCGACGAGCGTTACTTGTTTTATCAACATGTTCTGTAACTGTTTCTTTCTGTTCTACAAGAAAGAATATGCTGAGTGCCTACAATTTTATCAAATACAAAAAATGTCGATCGCAAATTTGTCGATTCCACAAAATTGGAATCCAAATTTGTCGAATTCGACAAATTTTATTAAAAAATATCGATTGTTGTATTGTCAAGCTTCCTTTCGATGAACTTCAAATTCAATTATAATCATCTAAAATCTGACTTGAAATCATGTTGAAATCAAGTTCATTCCAAGAATTGCTGCAAAAACCACGGAAGAAAAGCTCGCAAAAACATATCAAAACACAACATCTCGAAAAAAACAAAACCCTGAAAAAAGAATACCGAGACTACAAATCTAGATCTTTTAAGTGTTCCTCATCCTCACCCTCACCCTCACACTCTCGTCGTTACCCTCACATCACTATCACCATCACACCCTCACCCTCACACTAATTCCGCTTCGATCTGATTTCCGGAATTCCGTTCGGGAATCGCTCCTTTGGTTCAGATATTTATCTTCAACTACACAAGGCAAGCTGACGGTAAGATGGAATTCGGAAATCGGACGGAGTTCCGGAATTGCATGCAATTTCGGAATCGCGTGCATTTCCGAAATCGGTCGTAATTCCACAAATTCCTGGAATTGAGGGAACTCGATCGTTGTCGAATAAGCCGAGTTAGTCCGATGATGCCAAAATTCCGGAATCGGATGGAACTGATTCCGCAATGTGCAACATCGCGGAATAGGATGTATTCTCGTTTGGTAATGAATTTATTTTTTTTTAGAATGTAGTCTGATATGATGAATTAATGCGATATCTTCGAAACGATCAGGCAGTTTGGAAATCGTAAGAGTAATCAAATGAAAACATTCAGCGCTCGCGGTGTGGGTGAGAATGAGGTGGGCTATTCCCCACACTTTTCGATCTGTGTCTGCGAAAATTTGGAGTAATCCCCCAAAAACTGTCTGGCAAATTTTAATAGACAGCTTTTTTCTTGCTGTTTTCTGCCAGACTGTCTAGATCGGACTGTCTGCAAAATATCTCGCCCCTCCCATTTCTAACAACCATCGAGAGCCCTGAATTCGCTCGAAATGAAATGATCAATCGACATGTCTTGGCTCGCCTTATTTCTTTTTCTGACACATGTATGAGTTACCAGGCATCGAGCATGTTTTCTCCGAAAACAGTGCACATAGTTGGTTGACCTGTTCTGCATTAGAGTTCATATAGTCCTTCGTTTGCGCACACCACTCATCTAGCGAGGTAGTTTCAGTCAAGTTTGCTCGCTGTTCGAGGTTCGGATTAAATCGATAATAAGGAATCTTCAGTCGTTGACAGATATTTTCCATTCGTTGGTGCGCATTTTCAGAGTCGGATGCTTGTTCCACAATATTGAAGATGTCATTTTTAAGACGAAAAAGAGGAAGAGTGTTAGGATCTGTCAAAGGTAGATCTGGCATTTTACCTGTACCAATACTAACAATATAAGCAATCGGACATTCATTAACGGCAAATGTATTTTTGTTGAGATCTGATGAAAGACGTGCGAATGCTTCATCATATAATAGTTCGACAGGATTGTTGAAACCAATACCTCCATCAGTGTAATTATGATCATTTTTTTGAAGTGGTTTGAAATAGGTTGGTGCTGCTGTTGTTGCGCGAGCTGCTTCAAAGCATTTCCAACCAACATCGCCCTGGTGCTTTGATGATGGATTGTCGTAGTTTCGTATTAGAAACGGCTTCGTTTCTGTGTCGCGCTTCGTAACAACAAATGTCAGTGGATCTTGCAATTGGGGAGACATCGTCATATCTTCGAATTCTGTTTTTAATAATCTTTCGAGTCTTTCTGGAGAATATTCACTAATCGGAAGGTATCTTTGATATGGAAAGACTTCTTTCGCAAGAGAACGATAAAGTGCAACTAAATCCATGCCTTTTGCTCTTCGTAACATGCTTGCCAAAACCAAAATACCTCCCGTGCTACAACCTGCGGCGAAATCAAATAAGTCCCAAAAGTTTCTACCAGACTTTTCTTCCAAGAACTCGATAATTGTAGCTGGAATAATACCTCTTGTTCCACCACCATCAATAGCAAGCAAGCCATACTTAACAGATGGTGAAGAAAACGACGCTTTCGATATTCTTGATAGTTCAACACTATTGTGGATTTCGTTATCTTGCATGAACTGAACAAAGATGAGCACAAATTCAAAAAATATGCACTAGACAATCATTAAATATACTTACCAACAGACATCTTAAAACGGAGAGTGGTACGTTCAGTGCTGGTCTCTCATTGAAATCGATTAAGCAACAGCAATGCATCAAATCACACAAAACAATACTGATATTGTTAGAATCGTGATCAATAATTGGTGTACGGAACTGAAAATGTTGATCCTCATAATAAGTTTTAACGAAATTCATGTAGTAATCTAGTTCGACTGTTGTGACTGCGTCTGGTCGTTCTTCTTGTGGTGGTATAAGCCATTTTCCAGATTTGAAATAAGAAATTTCTTCTGGTTCTCGATGACAAAGTCGATAATAAATCAGTCCAAGTGAATAGATACTGGAAAATAGCTTGGAAATGTCCGTATCAGGAGTGGTGTTCACATATCGCGGAAATAATTCTTCCGGTGGTTGGTATAGAAAGTCAACTTTATTTGCAACCACATTTAATTTGATTTTCAAATCTGTAGTCACCATGACAGAGTTCGTATTCAACACAAAGGAGTCATACATTTCTTCATTTTCTATCTTTTGTAAGACGAAATCCACTGCTTCAGTCAGCTGTAGTGACGTTTGCAAAATATCTCGTGTTCTTAATTGTTCGTTACTGCATAGAAAATCTTCCAATGTTCCAGTATAAGTTTCCGTCACAATATGAACGATATTTTGAGAAAAATATGCACCGTAACAACAGAGAAGATTGTCATGGTTAATTAGTCGATTTGTATTGATTTCTTTACAGATTTGAAGAATATTGAATTTATGATGTAGACTTCGAATTGACACCGGTTGTGGTGGTTCATCGATTTCTCGCTTCTTCAAAATGCCGTACTTCATGATGCTTCCGTCGAAAATCGATCGATAAACAGCTGACTGTTCGTCGACATTCACTTGATTTGCCTTGAGTGACCATTGTAAAAAATATTTAGCTTGGAATCTATGAATTTCTGATAGAAGATGATTGATTTGCTTTAGATAATTGTCACAGAATTCCTGCCATTCGTCATTGTTTTCACAATATTGTTCGATTTGAGATAACTGTTCAATATCAATGAAGGCACGTTCAACTTGAGATAATATATCTCCGAAAAACAAAGAGTGATCTTCTCCCAATTTGTTCAGAAGTTTCATATGTTCGTCCTGATTGTTCAATTTATCACTAATTCGTTGGTACACTCGTTCAGCAACTTCACTATTAAATTTCTTAGGATCCTTTCGAATTCCTTCAACAGTATACCCTTTGATCACATCGTGTACTTGTTCTCCTAATACCACTAGTCCGAATGTGTATATTCCAAGAAGCGCTTTAACATCACCTGAGAATTTTTTCTCATGATTTGTTATCATTGGGGTTAAAATTAAATTGTATTTCTCTTTTGTATTCAGATCACGTACAGTTCTTCGTGCTAGTAGTTGGTAACGCCGCTTTATAGCATTATTTACAATTTTCAAATCATCACTGCAAATTTGATAAATAATATTCATTGTCTGCTCAGCGATTTCTGATAATGACATCGTCATCTGTTCTTCTACCCATTTAACAAGATGTATTTGTAAATAAACCTTGAATGCATCCGTTGTAACAATTGAAGTTAGATAATTCGGCTTAATAAAGAATTTAACCGCAGAAAGGA